TTGAATTGTTACATAAAGGATAAAAACAATATTTATTTTGTTAATTTTATATTTTAAATAATATAGTACGTGAAATAGTCAAAAATTAGGTACCAGGCCACTCCGGCCTGAGGAATGCGCACCGGCCCTGACCTGTTACGTACATACGCGCGCTCATTCGTCATTTTTAATTTGATCCACTGTAAAAACTACTCGTCGCACGCAATTTTGCTGAAAGAAAAAGTGTTTCTTTTAGCATAGAGAATCATACTTCAAATGCGGGAGTTTTGGGACACCCTGTATATTTCATTGAAAAATTTCAGAAATATTACATTGAAATATTATGGTGACAGCTAATATTGTAATGTCCCCAGACAGCACGCATGTTTAAAAGACGTCTTAGTGTCGGTCCACAATAGGTGATTTAAGCTTTAAGAAGTAAGAAATTGACCAACTATAATCGAATATGAAAAGAATAATCGACTATGATTGGTCAATTTCTTACGACTTAAAGATTAAATACTTATTGTGGACCGACACTAAGGTAGTAGAACGGTAAATATTATGGTCGTGGTCGTAGTCGTTGCGAGCGATAAATAAAACGCATCCTTAAAACTTTTAGAAGTTATATTGATGACAGATTGAGGTTATGGAACATATGTCTTAGTGTCGGTCCACAATAGGTGATTTAAGCTTTAAGAAGTAAGAAATTGACCAATTATAATCGAATATGAAAAGAATAATCGACTATGATTGGTCAATTTCTTACGACTTAAAGATTAAATACTTATTGTGGACCGACACTTAGAAAAGATGTCTTTAAGACGTCAGAAAGACGTCTTTCTGATATAATCTTAAAAATTTCTTTAAAAGGACCTTTAAGACGTTTTTTTCAGGACGTCTTTAAGACATATCCAAGACATGTTCAAAAGACGTATTTATGACTTTTTTTAGTCAATCAATCAATTTCTTACTTCTTAAAGCTTCTTAAATCACCTATTGTGGACCGACACTTACGGGAGCTGCGGGCGAAATCTTAAGTGGAACGAATTTTTGTGTAGTCTGTAACATGAATGCCATTAAATTGCAAACACAAATGCTTAAAAGCATTTTTCCTCTTCTCTTTTCATTAAAAAGAAGAAAAGAATATTTGTAATGTCAAATGGATTACAGCCGAGAAAGCATTAATTAAAATAGCGCGAAAACGACGAAACGACCGCACCAAGCCACTTACGAATCGAGAGTTCGATGCGGTCGCGATTAATGACATCATCTATGACGTTATGTATGACGATCTCGGTCGTTATGTAGAATAAGTGATGGTCCACAATAAGTATTTAATCTTTAAGCCGTAAGAAATTGACTAATCATTGTAAGAATTAGACGACCGTAAGCGGTCATGAAAGAGATTCGGAATATAAACAGCTAACAGAGAGGAGCCGTCGTGGTCGTGCAGACTAAGTGTCGGATTGGTAGACGAGGGATCCCGAGTTCAAATCCAGTCGGTCTCCGTTAATTTTTTCCGAATCTAATAGATATCTTTCAATCTCAGAAGTGGGATTCAGCCTATGTTACCTCAGAGAAGATTCAGCCTATGTTACCTGACAAGTCGATCGTTCAGGAGTGAACGAAAAAAGTCGGGGGTAGTACTCCAAAGTTGTGTGTCGGTCGTTCAAGAGAAATGAACGGAAAAAAAAAGTCGCGGAGTAGTATCCAAAGGAGTCGTGTCGGTCGTTCAAGAAAGTGATCGAAGTCGGGAGCAGAAGCTCCAAGTGTTTTGGATAAAAATCCGATAGAGGAAGACTCGGTACATTCGGGACGAATGTAATACCAGAATGGCCGAACTGTAAGAATTAGATGACCGTAAGCGGTCATGAAAGAGATTCGGAATATAAACAGCTAACAGAGAGGAGCTGTCGTGGTCGTGCAGACTAAGTGTCGGATTGGTAGACGAGGGATCCCGAGTTCAAATCCAGTCGGTCTCCGTTAATTTTTCCGAATCTAATAGATATCTTTCATCATAGTCGAATATTCTTTTCATATTCGATTATAATTCGATTGGTCAATTTCTTACTTCTTAAAGCTTAAATCACCTATTGTGGACCGACACTAATGGACTTGCGGATGCTGTGAGCGTTGTGGTCGTTAAGTGGAACGTACTCTAAATGACAGTTTCGTTCGGTGCATGCGATGGAAGTGGGATGGTCGAGCGACTTTTTCAGGGCGTCAGTTTTGCGATTTTTGACGAGATAGGGAGGGAGAGAACGTTTGGAGAGAGGTCAGGCTGTGCTAGGTTAGAAATAGATTCGAACTATAGGCAAATATCCTAAAGCAGAGGTTCCCCCCCGGAAATGGGAGAACAAGAAGCGTTCCATATTATAAAGAGAGGTTAGCCAATTTAGTAGCTAAAGTGAGTGCAAGAGTATTGGAAGATAAAAGCAAGGAATGCAATATGAAAAGAAAGATACAACGGAAAAGACAAGCGACAAAACAAGAGCTTGACGAAATATCAATGGAATGCAGCACTTACAGGAAGGCTGGGAGACACAGAAGCCCAAGAAACCGTGCAAGAAAGGAAGCAAGGAAAGGTTGAAGATTCCCGCCAAAGCAAAGGGAGAGAAATATAAAATGATTGGTCAAGAAACTAA